TATTATTTCTTTATAAAAGCAACAAAAGCCTGGCATATAGTACACCAATTTTCAGGGAGTAGACTGGAATATATTTTTCTATTTCCACATTAAAGGGGAGATTTGAAATTCAGGTTGCCTCACAAGAGCTAGGCATCTTGAAAGAGTGGGACACAGTGTTGGGGACAGTTTCAGAGTAATAATGATGAGCACAGACAAATGTTTTTTCTGGGGGAGTGGTTTTGAAATACTGACTGGCCACATGTTTTGATCTAGCTCTTAGACTTAGTCCTGATCATTGATCTTGCTGACTGGGACTTCTAGATGTTCAAGTCCAAACAGATTTGGAGGCTCAAAAGTTGATAACCACTGTTCTAGGAGAATTCTATTCCAGTTATATTGCAACCAAACCCTTCAATAATATAACGAAGAATAATTTGGAACCAATGCATTTATTTGAATTACGTATTTAGATAATGTTTTCATAATGAAGGACAAAACAAGTTGATTTTTCCAGGAGGAACTGTTTTGTTTTAGAAAATTGTGTTTTTAGGAAATCATATTAATGAGAAGAAGATAAAACCCCTTTCTGTTTGGAACGCACAAAACAAAGTGCTGCTTATATACCACCCCATAGTGCTGAAAGCTCTTTCTGGGTGGTGTACAATTTAATTATGCAGGTTACGCATCCCTCCAGCTGGATATTCATCTTACCAACCTCAGAAGGATGGAAAGTTGAATCAACCTTGAACCAGTTACCCAAGCCCAGGATTGAACTCAAGTCATGAGCAGAGTTTTTACTGCAGTACAGCAGTTTAACCACTGTGCCACGAGGCTCCATAAAGATAGTTAATGGAAATTTGAGACAGTCTAACTAAAACATTAATTCAGCTAATTTGACATTGAGAAACTTGTGGTTTGCAGGAAACTATTCTCTTTCAATTTATAGATGATGTTTCTCATCTTTCTTTGAATACAGAGAATCACATCAACTTGGAAAAGTCATATCAGACACATAGTTGGGCAGAACTTCCTCTGTGAACCTAAGACTGCTCCCTTCCATCTTTTATGCATCATTAAAAATATAATAGCAAATTTGCTTTAAAAATGCAAAGGTTTTCAGCTGTTTTACCATTATGTGCTGTCAATTGGCTTTTGATAATACAGTACAGTTATCCTTCATGGTCTCTGGGGATAATACTGATGGGTAATCTGCACCAGTGCAGAACCTGTGTGGAACATTCCCAAGCTGAGTGTTAATTTTTGGTGGCAACCTTTCCTAACCTCTACTACACATATATAATTGTGCCCAGTGCGGGCCCCTCCATTCATTTTATCTGCTGCCAGAGCATCCACACTGAGTTTTATTGTTTCTCTGTTGAGTTCTGTCATCGTGCTTCTAACCATTTCCCTCTTTTATAAGAAAAAAAGAAAGGGTCAGATTATTCTTTCCCCAGTTTTTCCTTTGTCTAGTACCTTATCTGACAGTCCCCAGTCTTCTGTTTTCCACATTGCAAGCTTTGCCCATGGTTATGGCCCCAAGGCCTTATTTAAGACATGCAGTTCTTGTGGGGATAGCACCACATTAATGGATTGTCATTCAAAGTGTCTCTTCTGTTTCAAGGAAATTCCTCTTTTTCAAACCTGCCTGATTTGTAAGAGCTTCACCAAACAAGATTGCAGGCTGAGGCAATCAAAATTATGTTCATATCTTTAGCAGCACTTCTTACATGCCACCAAAGATAAGGCATCGAGACCATGCCTGATGGCTGAACATTTCTTCACCACCTTCGATATTAGTCAGTGTAGCTAAGGGCACAATGTGCACATCCTCGACCAACCTTCAGTCTTTAATACCAAGTTCCATGTCAGCTACCAATCTGATTTCCCAGGCCTCTCTTCCTTCTACATAGGGTAGGGAACTGCCTACACTGAACTTGAGGAAGAATGGTCAAAATGCCCTACAAGCCTGGCTGCATCTGAAAAGGACAAAATACAAAGCAGAATGCCCCAGGAAGAGATCTTGTCCAGTCTTCATAGGAGAGTGATAGAATCCAATCCTTGCAGATGTAAGTTGAAAGTGTCCCCCCCCCCAGTACTTCACAATTTTGAAGCATGTTGTAGGTCTCCATTCCATTCTGAACCTTTGGGTCTCAAACAATATTTCAGTTAATGGTGACACTGGCTTCCATCATTTCACTTCTCCACCAGGACAACTGGTTTGTATCCATAGATCTCACAGACACATACTTCCACATCACTATATAGCCTTCTCACAATGTATCATCACTTTGCCCTTGACCATGAAATTTGCCTGTTCAGAGTCCTCCCATTTAGTCTAGCCATGGCCCTACAGGTCTGTACAAAATGCATGACCCTGGTTGTAGCCTATCACAGGACTGAAGCAATCTGCACTTTCTCCTATATTGACAACTGGTTGGTTTTTCCAAGACAAGGCTAAGATGCCACCTCTGTTTTCTACTTACTTTTTTCCATATACTGTAGGTCTTGAATCAATGAGGGTAAATGAGAACTCATTCCTTCACAGGGCATCACATTGGGGCTCAACTCATGAGCAACCAGTGTTCCTTCTGTACAACATGACCAAATCCCTGGCCATATTGGCCTTCAAAGTAGCCACTCATCCCTTTTCTGCATTCATTGTACAGAAGCTGTTAGGCCTCATGGCCTCAACTGTTGTGCTTATTTTGTGGGCTTGTCTCAACTTATGTCCACTCAATACTGGTTTCTCAAGGCCTTCAGCTATCTAACCCACCACAGTTCCACTTGACTTTCATCTCCAACACAGGCTCAAAGATGTCTTCAGTGGTGGACATGCCTATCCAACCTTAAAGCAAGCATACCGTTCCAGTGCTGTCATTCTCAATCCCAGTTATGATGGATGCCTCTCAGTCAGGATGAAGAGCTCACTTGCCAGGGCTTATGTATTCAAGCCTTCTGGTAAGCCTAGGAATGGAGCTTCTACATCATTGTGCTGGAGTTGCTGGACATCTTCAAAGCCTTAACGACATGGTCCAAGTAGAGACCAACAACATGACCATCATGCATTATCTACCTCTCAGTGATATCTGCATTTCAGACTCCTCAGGACAGTGTCTCCTATCTCTTTGCTGAACCAGTTGTGAAAAGATTCCTGAAGAGGCTCAAATATCTTCTCTCCATAGTTCACACACCCACACCATCGTCACTTGCCCTGGTCCTCTTCCAAGCTCATGTACCCACCATTTGAACCACTGGCTTCCTGACCCTTCCTGACCCTGGCCAGCTGTGAGTCTGAACTGTGTGAACCAAACTCTGACTGCCCTTAACATGACATTCTATGCTGGCAAGATTGTCTTTCACTTGGATGTTTGCTTTTTGTCTAAAATTGTGCCCTCTTTCCACCTTAACCAGGATTTCATTCTACCTGCCTTCTTTGGTCTGTGACCTTCTAACTCTTGAAATTGAAAGAGCTGTGCCCTTCTACTTCTCCCATGCTGAACAATTCTGCAAGTTCCTAAAACTCTGCTATGGAGGCCAGAAGCAGTGACTTTCAGCGGCCTCCCAGATTTCCCACTGGGCTGTTGAGTGCATTCACCTTGCCTACAAGATTGCCAAGGCATCTGCTCCTCAGTGTTTCAGATGTCATTCTAAAAGACAACTGGTCAATTCTGCAGCAGCTCTATGCAGTGTTCAAATTCAAGACATCTGCAAGATTGCCACCTTGCCTCAACCATCCATATTATAGGTTCGATGTTCAGGTCAGAAATGAGACCTGATTTGGGAGAGCTGCACTGGCTGCTGTCTTACAGTAACACTCCCTCCTCCATAAAGTCAGCTTGAAGTCTCCCATCAATGTAATCCACAGAGACCATGAAGGAGAGTGACAGATTACCTACCTGTAACTGTGGTTCTTCAAGTGGTTATCTGTAGAGTCACACTACTCACCTTCCTCCCCTCTGTGTGTCTGCTCCATCTAACTTTATTAGACAGGAAGAGGGGTGTCCATGCTGGGCAACTTTATATATGTGTAGTAGAAAGTGGGCAGAGTTATAGCCAAAAATTAATCACTCTGTTTGAGAATGCTTTGGACAGGCTCTGTGCAGATGCAGATTATTTATGTGTGACTCCACAGATGACCATGCAAAGAACCACAGTTACAAGTAGGTACCCTGTTGTTTTCAGGATAGGTAAGATATTCAAGAACTGGTTTTGTCTTTGTCACTATCCAGTGAGCTTCCATAGCCATGTACTGATTTGAATTCAGGTTTTGTGAGTACTCATTCAACATTCTGTCCTCTATACCACAACAATTCTTTGTGCTCCTAATGCTTTTAATGCACTCACTTTTCTTAGCTACTAATGGCCAAATCCTACTAATTACATCTGCAAACGTATTGCAAATGGTATAAATGTATGAGGCAAATTACCTCAAGTTAAGAAATCATTATAGATATTATTAGTTTCTTATGGAGTTGTGTGACTCGGCACACAACGGATAATATCTATGACAATTTATTCTCAAGACAATTTGCCTCCAAAAAGTACATTGTTTAAATAATATAATATTGGTGTAAAATCCCAAGAGAGATTCTGTGTTTCCCGAAGTATTTTCATATATTGTCCTGCATTATACTTAAGAAATATTCTGTTTTTAAAAAATTTCAGTGACACATTCATTCATAGTGATGTACTTCAGAACAATCTTTTTTTTGGTATTTAGATTAAATTCCAATGCTTCCCAACCTTGGGTCCGTAGATGTTCTTTGGACTACAACTCCCAGAAATCTTGGCCAGCACAGCTAATGGTGAAAGCTTCTCGGAGTTTTAGTCCAAGAACATCTGGGGACCCAAGGTTGAATTTAAAACATGTGAGTTGCATTACAATTGCATGAAAATTTTGTAATGAATTTGAGTACCTGACTTAATTTCTAGCCAATAGACTGTTGATGTTTTTGCTTGAATCTCTATACAGTTTTTCTACATTTTGTGAGTATAACTATAATTTCTTCTTTTTGTAGGGTGTACCTCAGTTACCTTGTGCCAAAGCATTATATAACTATGAGGGGAAAGAGCCTGGAGATCTAAAATTCAGTAAAGGTGACATCATCATATTACGTCGGCAAGTAGATGAAAATTGGTATCATGGAGAAGTTAATGGTGTCCATGGATTTTTTCCCACCAATTTTGTCCAGATTATTAAACCTTTACCTCAACCTCCACCTCAGTGCAAAGCACTTTATGACTTTGAAGTTAAAGACAAGGAAGCAGACAAAGATTGTTTACCCTTCTCAAAGGTAAAACATAAAACTTCCTTGTTACTGTGAGTGTAACAACATAAAGACTAATGAAGCAGTTGTGAATATATGGGAAGTCCGTGACAAATGAAAATAGAGCACTTATTTATTTAATTTTTAAAAATTTACATGTATTTACTTTTTTATGGGGGTTTTCAAAATCTGGGGAAATAATGTTTTAAAAACATTTTCATGTATGCAAACTTTATTATTTAATTTTTGTCTTATCCTAAGAATTGTATATGTGGTTCTTAACACACTACACTTTACCCCTGCAAATCTGGGAGGTAGTTTATGCTAAAGAAAACTGTGCATAGCCCAAGAAAGTGACTAATAAGCTCCAAAGTTCAGCCAGTACAGTATTAGATATCTTCCCAGTGTGTATCTGACACTTTAGAACCAACTTCATATTGTTTGCAAACCTAATCTTTATTTTTCAAGGTTCTGTATGTACATTTTTGTAGCAATCAGGTGCAGCTATTTAGAACTCACATGTTAGGACATCTAGCATGCAAGGAGTTTTTTAAGTGGAGATACCGACATGTGCTATGTCTGTCTGAAATAGTATAGCCTGGGAACAATTCTACTGTGAGTCTTTTAAAATACCTATTAAGTGGTTAGGTGAGACCTTAGGGAGCTCAGGCTCCTCCATTCTCCACAGCGTCAGTGATTCTAGTGGTTGCATCAGAAATACTAACATCTCCTAACTAATCCTCCAAATAGTTGGCATGTATGTATACTGTATAGCTTGGGTTCTGCTTTATGGTTACTTAGAAAAAGCAATAGAGAATGCAAATTAAGAAAGGAGCAACAAAAAGAGATATGTTAATGTCAGAAAAGAAATGGTGGCTTGTGCAACTGGGTTACTGTTACCCTATAAGCTCAAACTAGTGGATGACTGACTAGTTTCTTAGATTCCTTTCAGAACAAGAATACTGTAGTACAGTAGATGCAGTTGAGAACGAGTTTCCCTCTGCACACCTATTCATCACCTTTGTAAAATACATTTTTCTTAGTAATGGTTGTGCATACAGTATCATCAGGAAAGGAAGATTAAATAAATTACTTAATTACAAGGAGGAAGCATAATTACTTATTTCTCTTTTTTTTAAATGCAGGATGATATTTTGACTGTGATTCGCCGAGTGGATGAAAACTGGGCTGAAGGAATGTTGGCTGACAAAATAGGAATTTTCCCTATTTCATATGTTGAGGTAAAAGAACTTTATTTAATGTAGAATGTAATCATAATGAAAAATCTGGCATCTGCTTGAGACTAACCATTTCCTCCAAAATAGTCTTGGTAGTCCTTTCATTGTTTCCTATCCTCTTGAATCCAGGGGATGAGAGTTTTGAGAAATATAGTTCTTCATAGTCTCTGTAAATCACATATATGGATTTGCACTTGCCCAGAACACAAGTTGGAATCTTCTAGAGATTTGTGGCTTTAACAGTCATTCTCCTCCCTTGCACATGCTCAGACACACTCCTTGGTTCCCTCTTTTTTTCACCGCAACAGCAGCAGACAGGAGGGTGTTCAGAGTGATTTTGCTTCAAAACCTACTTGAAACTAAAATATATTTATTTTTCTTTTTTGTTCCATTTGTTGGAACAAACATTGGCCACAAGATGAATTTCCTCCATATCATCATTGAAGTCATTATACTCTTCCCCATATTGCCCAGTTTCAAGACCACCTAGACTGGCTCAACATATAGAGCTACAACATAAATGCTCTATAACTGTCTTCAGACCATCAGAACCATCGGCTCAGTCTAAACAGAATAGCTTGCTTGGTTCCAAGAAAATACACTGGAATGACACTGTCTCAGTAAGAACTGATAATTCTAACTATGGACTTTTCTTTCCTCTTGACTTCTGCACTAACTCAGTTCCAGCTATCACTACTTGATCTCTGACTCAGGTGTCACGTTTGGAAACAAGCTCTATGAGTCACTGTTCTTTGCCAGATTTTCCCGTTTGTGTTGACATTGTCTTTATTGTCTTCAATACTGACATTGGAACTGATCAGGTTCTCAAATTCAAATCTAAGTACAGTATATGATTCTTGCTAAATATATGACCTCCTTTGATAACTTCAAAATGCATTTGTCAGTAAGCATGCCTCCACTGGATTTAGCCAAAATATTTGTTTAATATTAGATTAAGTATACATTATTTCCATATTGTGTTCTTTTAAAGGATTTTAAAACCTGGAACACTTGAAAAAGTGCTACCAAGCACTTCCCTACCTTGTTTATTTCAATAGGAACAGTTAAATACTGTGCTGGTATCTACAAGGAAAAGTTATATTTTATCATTGTTATTTATCATAGGGATGAGGGTGGCACTGGTGATTAAACCACTGAGCCACTGGGCTATCCATCGAAAGGTTGACAGTTCAATACCATGTGACAGAGTGCTCTCCTGTTGCTTGTCCCAGCTCCTGCCAATCTTGCAGTTCAGAAGCATTCAAAAACAAGTAGATGAATAGGTACCACCTCAGTGGGAAGGTAGCAGTGTTCCATTTCTAGTCATGCTGGCCACATGACCACAAAAAGTGTCCATGGACAAATGCCAGCTCTTCGGCTTACAAACAGAGATGAGCACCAACCCCTAGAGTTGGATACTACTGGTCTTAATTGTCAAGGGGAATATTTACCTTTTTATCATCATCAAGTAACATAATGATTCTTATTCCCCCAATAGACTGTAATTATCTATAAATATACTATTAAATCAAGAATAGGATGAGATATTTCACAGAAACTTGCCTTCATTTCTTTTGTCAGATTAGTGTTTTGAAATTGTAACACAGAAAAAGTGATTAGCTGTTTAGAGGTTTTTAACCCTTTGTAGCAGTCATAATTTGTAATAGATATTCAACAATTCAAAAGTTTCAGTTTACTGTATTTTGAAGGGCACAAAAGTCCTGATATATGCTAAGAATTTTATAAATGGTGAGAACAATTTGGAGCAGAGCTTTGTATGTGTTTGTTTGTTTCCTTTTCTGGGTAAATCAGAAATTCTTCCAAGAATATGGAAATTGAGGGTTGGAAGGCAAGAAAAAGAGTTGCAAAGCAAGAAAACATTTAGGAGTGACAATTCAAAACATTTAGGAGTGGAAATGGAGAACTGAGATGTTCAGTTTCAAATTTCCAGTGAACAAATTGTGTTGGCATGGAAATGTGAAAGGCTAAAGAAATTTATAGGAGTGAGGCAAATTTAGCCTCACTTAATTCAAGAGGGTGAAAAAAGATAAAGTATTCAAGGAAGTAAATAATCAGAAGTAATGAAAATAGAGTGGGAAAGTCTAAAGTTGTTTGTTTGATTATTCATTACATTTATTCCTCTGCCTAAGCATTACTCTGTTCAGGGTGATGACACTAGGGGCTCCCAGTTTGGAATGTTTTTTATGAGCAGGCTTGTATCAGAACATATCATATCCTGATGAAAAAACAGAGTGAGTAATCGGGGGGGGGGAGCGGTCCACTTTCTACATACATTTGCCAGTTTATTGAAATTTGCCATGGGTAGCACTCAGAAGAACTGATAGTATTTCAGAAATTGCTGCTTTACTTACTAGCGTTTAGGAAGAGTAAGTGCTACATATGCTGCTAGTTAACTTTTTTCTGGTCACAGATATCCCAAAACATAAGCTGTGTGCCCTGTCAAAAGATGGGGAATCATATTATTATGTTTAAATGTTCATTAATTTATGCAACGTCTTCCAGAATTAGGAAGGCCATTACTTTGAATGGGAATGGATAACAGACAGCTTTTAATCAAGGTGGAAAATGTTTATTCTGAACGTTTTAAATGTGATATCATTGATATTTGGGATGCTTATGATGGGAAACAGTGGAAGCATATAAGTTGACTAGGTCTTTATCAGTAAAAAGCTGCTTAGAGGTGGGAGATCTGGAATGAATCTCTTGGCTGGCTTACCTTGTTATCAGGATTATAGTTTTGGCCACTGAAATAAATTCTTTACAGATGGAATTGCCCCTGGAATCTATATTTCCTCTTTTTCCTAGAAAGTTGCAAGCATATTAAAGCAGTGGTCTCCAACCATGGGCCTCCAGATGTTCTTGGACTTCAACTCACAGAAATCCTGGCCAGCAGAGGTGGTGGTGAAGGCTTCTGGGAGTTGTAGTCCAAGAACATCTGGAGGCCCAAGGTTGGGGACCACTGTATTAAAGGGACTGGTGCTCACAGCACTCCCTCAGTCTCTCAGTATGAGTCATGCATGTTTGTATGCTTTTGTGTTCATGTGTCATTGTCTCTAGCTGTCTATAGTTGTAAATAGGATTCAAAACTGTGCAACTACTTGTATGGTGTTTATTGGCTTGTTTGTTTGAGGCAAAGGGAGAAGGGTTTGCCTGAGACCAGTTGCCCTTGGAAGCATAATTAAGACATTCTCTAAAATTATAGCTAGAAAATTATAGCTAATTGTTTTACATGTATATGTTCTTTCTCTCTCCCTCTTAATTTATTTCTCGCTCTGCCTCTAATTGTTTCTTGATGTGATGCCCATTCAAAAAAGAATTTGTTTTTTGAAAAGCATGCTCTTAAAAGTAATTTTGTATTTAAAAGTTCTTTTCATTCATATGCACCATTAATTGAGTAATATATTAAGTTTTGATGTTTTAATAAATTAACGTTTCTTTTAATGTAATTATTAAATTAATTTTAGAAGAGGTAGCCATTTTAGTATGTGCAAGAATATCAGGCAAAAACAAAAGATGAATGAAAAAAGGGACAAAAATTTTGTGGCACCTTAAAGACTAACTTCTGTATTTTAATGTGAGCTGTTGTGGACAAGCACACTTCCTCAGATATAAGATTATTAAACTAGTGTTAATATTGTATCTTTAACAGTTTAACACAGCAGCAAAGCAACTGATAGAACTGGACAAGCCCTCAGGTTCTGCAGCAGACTCTGGAGAAGGCACTTCTGGTGCTTCCCATAGCAATTCCATTCAAAAGCACAGTGATACTAAGAAGAACACCAAAAAACGCCACTCCTTTACCTCTCTTACCATGTCCAACAAGGCCTCACAGTCTTCTCAGAATCGTCACTCAATGGAAATCAGCCCTCCTGTCCTCATCAGCTCCAGCAACCCCACAGCAGCAGCCCGCATAAGTGAACTTACAGGCCTTTCGTGCAGTGCACCTTCTCAGGTAATTTACTAGAAACTGAATGCACAGTGTACCATAGCATTTTAAATGAGCAATTTAAAAGGTTGACAAAACAAATGGAAAATAATTGTGGAAGATTTCTTTTATGTGCAAACCATCATTAATTTAAACATATAGAGATTGTTTTCATGCACTCTAAAGCACCTGAAGTATCCTAAAGACAACTCTTGTGCCTTAAATAAGTGCATAGTTTATCACAATTATTACAGTGTACATAGTTCCCCCCCCCCAAAAAAGCATGCACAACATAAATGCTTTTTATAGTTTTATATAAACTAAAGGATGAAAAGTTTGGGGACAAGCTGCCCTGTTGCTATGCAAGTAAAATATAATTCATGAGGTTAAAATACTCATGACAGTAATTATTGTATTTGCTGACTCAGTCTTTCTTTACATTTTCATAGGTTCATATCAGTACCACAGGGTTGATCGTGACCCCACCACCAAGCAGTCCAGTAACGACAGGGCCTTCATTTACCTTTCCCCCTGAAGCCACCTACCAAGCTACTCTTGGTGTAAGTGTTTTTTGATAGATACTTAAGTTCTCCATATACATTTATATCAGTTGGTACTGATTTTTTGTAATTCTAGAAGCTGAACATTTTGCAATCTTACTTGAGATATACTGATGTTTTAAAAATTGTGTACAGTATATTTTAACCCTGTAAAAAAGGCTAACTCAAAACATTTTGATATCCATCTTCCTCTTATTGATTTCTGCTTTAATTAATCACTTTATTATTTGTTATTGATGTTTTATCTTTTTGTCAAAAGGAAACTTAATTTTTTTTGCCCCCTGCCCCCACATCTGCAAACTTTAGTCTCAGCTGTGTCATATGTTGTGGCTGTATTTAAAGTCATCCTCCTTGAGGTGCCTCTGCTTTCTAATCTTTTACAAGACTTGTCCTTTTTGGATAAATATTTTTGCTGGTTTGCAATCCTTTACAGAAGAAGGTGAAAAGCCAATACTCTCACCCATAGAAGATATTTTTATCACCTATATACGTCATAAAGAAAGCAGAGCACAACAGGGAAATTTTATGAATGAAGCATAGTTTGTAATGTTAATATTCTGTGTTTGCTGAATAGTGTAATTTGGCTTACCTCCAAATAAACCAGTTCATTGTAGGAAAGTCTTGAGTAGGTGAGTTGGAAGAACTTTAACTGTTTTAGATTTATAGGAATATAGTTGTGGGAGAAGGTTGTGGTTGTTTGTTGCTCCCTCAGTTTGAAAAGCAGTTTACTCCACAGTTGGGGGGGGGGTTGCGGTTTTAAAAAAAAGATCGGAAGCTCATATGGACTTACAAAACTAATTTTACAATTTCAAATTGATATGCTCTTTTGAATCTATGTCCATATACGTATTCCATATTTTTAAAAGAATGTGAAGTCTTTCCCATTAGTCACATTTTTTCACTTTTTTAAAACTAGGAGATGAAGATTTCTTAAATTGGTTTGTAGCTTACTTTTGTGAAGAACAATTAGAAAAGCTGCTAAAAGAATCTTTGTATTATAAAATCTTGGTAGACATCTGGGTAATGAATAGAAATAAACCCTTGGATCATATGTATACGACCATGTATTTAGTGAGTATACTATGAGATAAAGCTGCAAACAGTTGCTACGCAATGTGTGTGCCTCTGCTTTTCTGATACTTTCCAGTAGTCAATATGCAAAATGATATGATTGTTTCTACAAGCTGGATTTCGAAGGGGCAGAGGAACTAGAGACTAAATTGTTAACATGTGCTGGATTATGGAGAAAGCCAGAGAGTTCCAGAAAAACATCTACTTCTGTTTCATTGACTACGCAAAAGCCTTTGACTGTGTGGACCACAACAAATTATGGCAAGTTTTTTGCAGTCCAGGGGAGACTCTGGACTGCAAAGAGAACAAACCTATCCATTTTGAAGGAAATCAACCCTGAGTGCTCACTGGAAGGACAGATCCTGAAGCTGAGGCTTCAATACTTTGGCCATCTCATGAGAAGAGACGACTCCCTGGAAAAGACCCTGATGTTGGGAAAGTGTGAAGGCAAGAGGAGAAGGGGATGATAAAGGATGAGATGATTGGACAGTGCCATCAAAGCTATCAACATGAATTTGACCCAACTCCGAGAGACAGTGGAAGATAGGAGGGCCTGGCATGCTCTGGTCCATGGGGTCGCAAAGAGCTGGACACGACTTAATGACTAAAGAACAATTGTTTCTGAATTGTTTCTATTTGTATTAAGAGAAAATCCTATTTTTCTGGAGTTACTGAATTTTGTTGGCCTAATTTAAGCTTGCAGATATGATAAAAGTGAAATCTGCTCTGAAAGCACTAGGGATTTCAAGCCACAGATGATTATGAGAAGACTGTTTCAAGCCATAGAGACTGAATCTGTGAAAATCCTAACAAGAATATGTCAACAAATATGGAAAACAAATACTGAAAACAAAACAAAGGCCCACTGAATGGAAACAGTCCCCAAGAAATGCCAAGAGATGCCAAGAAGTGCAATAACTATAGGACTATTGCTTTTAATTTCCAGAGCAAGCAAACATGTGCCCAAGGTGTTGCAACAAAGGCTTTTACTTTTTATATGGAGCAAGAAATGCCTGATTTTCAATCTAGATTTTGAAACGGAGGAAGCACTCCATATCACTAATATCTGCTGGCTACTGGAATACACCAGAGAATTTCAGAAGAAGATAATTGTATGCTACAGCAGGGGTCCCCAACCTTCTGGGACATCTGAGTGTCCAATGCGTCAAGAGGGCCACATCATAAAACAGAATGTAACAAAATTATTAACCTATCTATTTAGATCATTCAGAGGTCAATGAAGAAATGTTAACTTGAATGAAATGCATTCTGGAACAATATTTTACTGTGGAGTCCTTTTATCTAGCAACACATGCTTATGTAGTGAGTGTGTTTTTTTCCTGTTAGCCAAGGCATTAATTTCTAAGTCAAGGTTTGGGACAGAGACCCTTAAAGTGCCATGTAAATATCCATCTGTAAGTCTTGACCAGCACTTGGATTTCACAATTGTCACCTTGGGAAACATTTGTTCACAGATATATGTGGTGCCAAAGACTGTGAGCATGCCTGTAGCACATTTTAGTTTGATAAATATATCAGGTAGACCAGAATAGAATGGACTATTTTCTTTGTAAAGGTCTCTGAGATTATCACTGGCTTGCAAATCTATTAGTTCCATCTGGAAAAAAGTTACTTGCATTTTATGGTATTACTTCAAAGGGAACATTCTTGCTTATGGCAATCAGTGCATCTGTTCTGGAATTCCACCTGCAATAGGTTTGTTGCTTTGATGTGTCTTTCAACATTGAATTGTAAATTCCTACCCTTCTGAAAATTTAGTTCATTGCTGCATGAGAATTGCAAAAGTTACTTTCACTAACTTGCTTCCCAAAAATATTTAGTTTTCCTTCAAAAGCTTTCAATTCAAAATACATGTCACACACAAGCTTTTCCTTTCTGTGCAGCCTTAGATTCAGTGTATTCCGATGCTCTGTGATATCAGGTAAGAAAGCCAAATCAAAAATCCATCCAGGGTCAGAAAGTATTTCTTGACCTTTTCCTTTCCTTGAGAAAGACAACTTCATGATGAAGACTGCAAAAATGTTTGAAGGACTGCCTCTGCTAAGCCACCAGACATCTGAATGGTACAATACCTCTCCGTATTCTGAAACTGACTACGAGTAAGGCCATGATGCCTGATGTAATTAATGCTGGATACAACATGTCACATTTTCCCACTGAAGAATCTTATTACGTAAGGCTTCCTGATGGATGGTGAATTTTTAGCAGAGCAGCAATTGAATAGTTTTAATATTATCATTGAATAAATAAAAATATGAGAATTATAGTCTTAGGGGATCTAACTCTTCCCTTTCTCATCAAATCCACACAACTCTGGCTGCTGTTAGCTAGGGATTTTCATTTTGACCATGGCAAAGAAGAGAAGAGACCCCTGCCTCTACAGTTCCAGAAAATTGCACTATATTCACAGACTAGGAAGAATTTTTTAAAAATGGATCTGAACTACCAGAGGGTAGGGTTGTAATCCTAAGTACATTGAATACTATGAGATTTATTTCTTAATAGACATACTGCCTTGAGGTTTAAGTCTTCACATGCTAAAATTGGGAGCCCTCCAAAAAAAGGCAGTTATGGAGAAAGAGTGACTGAAAGGACAGCCTCTCACCTGGAGCAGAGGACATGGCATTAAGTTGGCTCCAAATTATATGCAGGGTGCACATGCACATCACTGCCTGCCAGCCAAGCCTCAGTTAGGAGAAGCAAAATGACAGCCAGGGGAAGTGAACTTGGCTGGAGGAAGATGTGGGAAGGCAAATCCCATAAGCTTTCCTATTAAGAGAGTACTTCTTCTCTCTCAACCCAAGGCACTATCCACAAGCTCCTGTAAACACAGATGCATGAGAAGGAGCTGGAGTGCATTGGGAAGGAGAGAGATAGGCAAGGCAAGGCAAAAAGTCAAGCAACCAGCTCTTGTTGAGGAAGGAAGAATTATTTTGTCTCAAGCAGCAACCTCACCAGAAATCTTGGAAGCTACTTGGAGGAGCCATGATGAGTTGAGCCTCTAGAAATATTTTGTATGCAAAACACTGTGTCATTTTTATAAAGAACTTTTACTCTCCTTTTCTCACCTTTTTTTGCAAAAGAAGGACAGACATCTCCTGTTCTCATTCCCATAACTGCTTTATTTTCTTTACATACACATGTAGCCTTCAAATTGGTAATGCATAGAGAGGGGGAGTGAAAAAGCTGCGGTATGGCTAGCAAAGCACCTAAAATGGCCAGAATGCTAGTGTGGTGGATATGACCATGGCGGACTGACTGAAGGAAACATGGAGACCAGAAGAAACAACATTGCTATTATGTTTTTTGAAAGAATGGAACAGGAAGAATAGCAGTAGAGGCAGGGTGAACAGTGTAGATCTAAGGGAAAATGTCTTGAGGGCGATGGCAGTAAACAAGCTGGTTGGAGGGCCACACAGAGAGAGCTTGGGGATTGCATGTTGCCTGTGGGGTGCAGTTTGGGGACCCCTAGGCTAAAGCAAAGCCTTTGATTGTGTGGATCATGAGAAACTATGGGTTGTTCTGAAAGAAATGGGTGTCACTCAGCACTGATTGTCCTGATGTGTAAACTGTATTGTGGACAAGAAGCTACCATTAGGACAGAGTATGAGTATGAGAGAGTATGTTCCACTGCTTATTTAACTTATATGCAGAATACATCATGTGAAAGGCAGGACTGGATGAATCCCAAGCCGGAATTAAGATTGCTGGAAGAAATATCAGCAGCCTCCGATATACAGATGATACCACTCTGATGGCAGAAAGTAGAAGGAGAAGATATGCAGGCAGTGACATATTTTACTTTCTTGGGCTCCATGATCACTGCAGATGGTGACAGCAGCCACAAAATGAAAAAAACGCCTGCTTCTTGGGATGAAAGCAATGAGAAACCTAGGCAGTATCTTAAAAAACAGAGACATCGCCTTGCCGACAAAGGTCCACATAGTTAAAGCTGTGGTTTTCTCAGTAGTGATGTATGGAAGTGAAAGCTGGATCATAAAGAAGGCTGACTGCCAAAGAATTGATGCTTTTGAATTGTGGTGCTGGAGGAGACTCTTTAAAGTTCCCTGGACTGCAAAGAGAACAAACCTATCCATTTTGAAGGAAGTCAACCCTGAGTGCTCAATGGAAGGACAGATCCTGAAGTTGAGGCTCCAATACTTTGGCCATCTCACGGAAAGAGAAGACTCCCTGGAAAAGACCCTGATGTTGGGAATGTGTGAAGGCAGGAGGCTCTTTAATCACTATAGATTGAGAGCAAAGACCAAAGTTCAGCTGAAATGCACGTGGGATTTCCTCTTCGCCAATGATGCAGCCATTGTTGCTCACTCTGCTGAAGACCTCCAACAACTCATGAATTGTTTTAGCAAGGCCTGCCAAGACTTTGGACTAACAATCAGCCTGAAGAAAACACAAGTCATGGGCCAGGGCGTGGACTCACCTCCCTCTATTACCATCTCCACAGAAGAATTGAAGTTGTTCATGAATTTGTGTACCTTGGCTCAGCGATCTCCGACACTCTCTCCCTAGAAGTCGAGCTGGATAAACGCATTGGCAAAGCAGCTCAATAAGAGTATGGCTCAATAAGAAGCTGATGGCATACACCAAGATCCAGGTCTATAGAGCCTGTGTCCTGAGCACACTCCTGTACTGCAGTGAGTCCTGGACCCTTTGTGCACAGCAGGAGAGGAAGCTGAACACGATCCATATGCATTGTCTCCGACGGATTTTTGGTATCACCTGGCAGGACAAAGTTCCAAAAAGAGTAGTTTTAGATCGAGCTGGAATTTTTTTAGTATGTATACATTACTGAAACATCAACATCTACATTGGCTTGGGCATGTTGTGAGAATGGCTGATGGTGGGATTCAAAAAGATCTCCTGTATGGAGAATTAGTGCAGGGAAATCACCCCAGAGGGAGGCCACAGCTGTGATACAAGGATATCTGCAAGCGGGATCTGAAGGCCTTGGAAATGGACCTATACGGATTGGAAACCCTGACATCTGACCGTTCAGCCTGGAGGCAGGCATTGCATCACAGCATCTCCCAATTTGAAGAGACCCTTGTCCAGCAGGCTGAGGCAAAGAGCCAGTGTCGAAAGCAGCAACATTGGGGAGGTAGACGGGGGTACAGATTGTATTTGTCTTCAATGTGGAAGAGATAGTCACTTTTGAATTGGCCTTCTCAGCCACACTAGATGCTGTTCCATGTCCTCCATACAGAGCACGATACCATAGTCTCTCGAGACTGAAGGATGCCTAATCTATCTAATCTATTTTTATTTGCCAATTAAAAAATTGGCTTTTGGAAACAAAAATACAAATGACTGATCAGGATGCAGCAGTAAAACAGGATCCGGCAATAAAACAATGTTGCCTTCTCTTAACACAATACAATTGGACAGTCTTGGAGTGTGCATGGCTTTTTATATGTCTGTTTATGAAAACAGCTTGATACCATTGCCATCTCTCATATTATGTTATTTTATTTTTAGAATATGAATCCCCCTCTCCTACCACCACCACCTCTCGTGTCTTCTACAATGATTGCCACAACATCTACAGGACTCTCTTCTGGAGTGGCTCAAAAATCTATGTCAGGATCAACTGAGCAAGTGGCACATTTACGACCACAAGCAAGACCAAGTGTGTAAGTGAAATAGAAGTGCTGATGGTGAACTAGAGATGAATTGGAAACCCAGAGGGAGCAAAAGAAGAGTTGAAGCATTTCTGGAATAAACTGTGAAGTGTGTATTTGGCACCTGCCTTGAGAAATACCTGCTGCATATAAAAAAAGCAAGAGAAACAGAATAAGATTTGATGCATTTCCTCTCTTAACAGTTTGACAGTATTTACAATGTTAATATATAATATGCTAATGGAGTCTGGTTTTCATGCACATGTGGGAAACAAATCACAACAGTAAACCTATTTTCTCATCTTTCAAGCATTAGGCAAGACTGACAAAGTGCTAAGCTTTGAATTACTATTACTATTGAAACAGCAAGCTAGAAGTTGATATTTGGCCCATTATGCAGGATTTTACCCACCCTACATTTTAGCTTATCAAGACAGTCAAGATTTATTGATTCCCTTTAGGAAATAAGTAGCAATTAGAGAAGGCAAATGAAATCAGAAAAGTATACCCCAGCCATTGGAGTGAAAATCTTCATTAATTGTCATGAATTGTTGGACATTTTATCGGTGGGAGCTTGTGGAAGAAGTTTACTAGCAGGAGATGATAGATTTTAGACAGAATCCCATAGATGTCCTCCTGCACCATTTCTGTGACTGAAGTATTGTAACTACACGAAGAGCTGTTTCGCCACAATGAATGCTACTTCCAACGTATTATTTTCAAAAAGCATCCACTGTGCAAGTTGTACCTATATTTGCAATTCTTGAGACAGTGTCTAAAATCCTATTACACATCTTTGAGCTCCACAATAAGGATGACATCATCAGCTATGGCCATTCTGTTTGCATTTCAGAGGGATAAAAAGTTTCCCAGAGTGCCCCCACCCCCAGTTTTGAGATCCCTAGCAATCTTTTCATTCTAGAGCAGTCTTCAGGAACTGTGGAGTGGAAGGGAGATTTAAAGCCAAAAAATGTCTGCCACTTTTCCCAGCAGTGGCATTAGAATCATGCAGTTTTTCAGCTTTTAATTATCCCCTTCCTGTTCCACAGCTTCTGAACGATGCCCCAGGATGAAGTAGATCCCTAGGGATATGCAGCATCTGGAGCTCTAGTAAATTTTTGATTGCCCCAAAACAGCTGTGGCTAATGATGTCATCCTCCTGGCACTATGCAGCACAATTCTGCAAACAAAATTTAAGCCACTGTATATGTAGAAAGCAGTTAAAGAGAGGTTTCTTTCCATCCTATTATTTAGTCTATATTTTTGAGAATAAATTTCTTTTCCAGGTATATTGCAATTTATCCATATACCCCTAGAAAAGAAGATGAACTGGAACTGAGAAAAGGCGAGATGTTCTTGGTGTTTGAACGTTGTCAGGATGGTTGGTTCAAAGGAACTTCCATGCATACAAGTAAAATTGGTGTATTTCCTGGCAATTATGTGGCACCAGTTACAAGGTATGTTTTTCATTTAAAGTACAGTATCCTTTTTTATAAAGATGAGAGAAGCATCCGTTTGAATGTCTTGTTTTTCTGTAGGGTTATAGCAGTTTTTTGGGGAGAGAGAAGACTTTGATTGGTTTAATAAGATGTGCATTAACAACTTCATATTGCTTTCAACAGGGCAGTGACAAGTGCCTCCCAAGCAAAGGCCCCTGTATCTACTGCTGGCCAGTCAGGGCGGGTGGTGACTGTGGTTAATGCTTCAACTACTGGAGGAACTTTGCAGAAACTGCAGGGAAACGGTGTGACAGTGAACGCTAGTGCAGTACCTACAGCTGTGGTTTCTGCAGCACACATACAAACAAGTCCACAGACGAAGGTTCTTATGCACATGACTGGGCAAATGACAGTCAACCAGGCTCGCAATGCAGTTAGAACAGGTAAAACATTGCTTTATGCCTCAGCTAGTTTTTGGTACAATCATGATTAGAATCTCTTGAAAACTCTTATAGTCACATCTAAGGGGGGATTCCAAGCATAGAAAGAGAATCAGTGGGTTCTCATTTGTAGGCTGAAATCCTGTTACTTAGAATAGTAAGTTGTACTAGAGTAGCTCACTGAATCAGTGGAGATTTGATGAGTCACCTCTTCCATAAATTCCATTAATTCAAGGGGGGCTACTCTAGTTGTTAACTTTCTTTAGCATAATAAGTTACTACTGGAGGAGACCCATTTGAATCAGTGGAACTTATAGAGGAGTTGACACACCAAATCCACACTGATTTAATTGGCCTTTTCTAGTGTGACTTACTACATTAAGCAACAGAATATCAGCCGTAATATAGTATAGATAGATTAGAGGGACCAGGGTTCATTATATAATTTTGGCTTGGTCATACATATTCCATTGCAAATTGCTTTTATTAAATCTTTTTCAACAATATTACCATAATTCAGAGTAGACCTTTGGTTTAGATGAGCAGGATAAGAATCTAATAAATAAATATAAAGAAACAAAACAAAAACGTAGAATAATTCATTGAAATATTCAAGGAATTGGTAGTGAAGTTAATGTTTAATTAGCTACTTAATTAGCTAAATATAGCAAGGATAATATAGACTACTTCTATAGACACTGTATGTAATTTTGGAGGAAGACTGAGATACAGCTGCAATAATTAATATGACCAGTATAAACTTAAAGGAATTCTGCATGTTTTCTGGAATGCGAGTGCTCTGACAGTTTGATGATTTGTAGTTTTTTCTCAGTCTTGAAATATATTTCCTTTTCTCACTGCAGTTACAGGACACAACCAAGAAAGACCTACAGCCACCGTGACACCAATTCAGGCTCAAAGTTCAGCATGTCTTATTCCTGCTGCTGTAATTATCCCACACCATTCTGTTGCCTCCCAACAGCTCCAGCCTCAGCTTTCAAATGCTGCTGCTTATATTACAGCTGTGAATATCAATCGAACAAATGTCCCATCGTTAAACTCTCCTGGCAATTCTGCTTCTTTAGATGGAGATATAAATGGGAGAATTGTGACTGTTCACACTGGAGCTCCAGCTTCACCGGAGAATACCATAGTGACTGGAGGGATTGCTACACTCAATAAACCTGACAGAGACAGCAAGGTGCACATGAAATTTGGTTTCTCTTCACAATCTCTATGCAGTCCTATTTGTGGTTTTTCACCTAATAATATGTAAACAATTCCAGGTACTCTATTAATAGTAACAGTAGGTACTTTTAACCTGCTTTTGATTAAATGTAAGTCCAAAGACTGCCATTTAGTTATTTTCTTAGCACATGTTTATTGTTATCAGGAAATAGCAATTTTACTTTTAAAATGAATAATAAATTCTTACATTGATAATGACCTGATTTCTTTACCACTTGTGTAACACAGTACTATTGCTTTTTTGATCCACTACAAACGTTTCTTGTATCCTTACATGGAATGATTGTTGTTGTTTAGTCGTTGAGTCGTATCCAACTCTTCGTGGCCCCATGGACCAGAGCACGCCAGGCTCTCCTGTCTTCCACTGCCTCCTGGAGTTTGTTCAAATTTATGTTGGTAGCTTTGATGACACTGTCCAGCCATCTCGTCCTCTGTCGTCCCC